TTAAACAGATAACAAAAATTTTAACTACTTATAACTGCACCAATATCGAATTTCAACACTCAAATCGCGATCAGTTCCTGAACTGAAAACGACGATAACGTTCCCCGATTTCTATTCGTCACCGTACATGACTTGAAATTTAATTTTATGACTCTTCAGTCAATCAAACTCAGTTAGTGAAAATTATCCAATACGAACTGCCAAGTCTACAGTCCACGTGAACTAGTTCCACTTTCGATTAATGGATTTTTTGGCCTTTGATTGTGGCGTCAACTTTAAATATGCACAATATCGTTTACTTCGACTATAACCATCTAAATTTCAAGCATTTCAGCATTAGATTTCTATGGTCAAGAGTTTTTCCTTGTAACGAGTTTTTGTAGTCCACTTAGTTTGACCAACATACCGACTTTTTCTTTTACTTCTTCTGTCTTTCAGGTTGTCCAATACTTGTGTAAAAAGTAAATTATAAATTGAAACACAGTACCAAAATAACACAGTAACTAATATTGGGAACTCATTTAAGGGAATTCAATACATGTGATAGTTTTTCAAAATATAAATAAGAGACCTAACTTGGTTCTGAGATTTAGTTTTAGTCATCTACGGATGATGCGTATCAAATTCTGATGTAGGAAACGTGTTTTCAATAGATTCATTTCATGCCAGATGTTCTAATTCTACATATGAAGTTGGGTTCTCATTTGCAAGAATTTCAGCAATGTATCCTGTAGATTTTACAGCCAAATCAATAATAATTCAAAACTCAGCAACTCAGAAACGTCTTACTGTGAAAAACGAAAATAAACCTTTGTATACAAAGGCATACATATTGAAATAATTCTCAGAACACTCTCATGGTGTGATTGATATATTTGAATTCAATAATCTGTCCTTGCAGAATCCAATATAAACAGTTCGCACACACCAGCAATGGAACTTTCTCTTTAACGCGCCTTTCACCAATTAAGTTTTCATTGTCAGGAGAAAATCCAACTTCGTCTATTCATGTTTAACAGCATGAACTTCCAGTTTAACTTTCAGTCACACATAATTGATTTTCTGAGCACGAATCAGCAAGAGAACTCCCGGGAAAGTTTCTATAAGTTTTTGAGCGATTCATACAAGAATAAACAGTGGGATGTTTAAAATGGTACCTTTCCTTATTTTTATGTCTCATTTTGCAATATTTCAAACAATGTTCATTTATTCTGTGAACGTTTTCGCTAGCGTTTCGAGCAACACTAGACTTTTCTAGGCTACGAAATCGAATATCAACCGTGTGTTCCTTGAACCGATTTTTAATAACTCTTCTATTCTGAGAAGTATTCTTTTTGTCACAGTTATCACTGCTTATTTCATGAATACCACACGTCTAAGTTTTCATCATATGGTCTTTAGAATCGTCTGACACTTGTTGAAGTGAACCCTGATGAATTTGAATCTACTTTTATATTCGGTTTTTGAAAAAAAATTGATACAACCTATTCGTGCATTTTTTTTGTATGGGAAAAAATCAAATGTGACTTTTTGAAAAGTCAAGATTTTACGTTTCTCAATAACATGATATAAAATACAATACAAAAAAACTATTTTATGATATAAAAAATTCGTCTAGGTAATAAAAACAACTATCAATTAACTACTTTTTCAGATTTCAGGTAAATTCATTAATTTTATTGAGCTCCTTAATATCGTTTGATAACTTATTAAATATACTTGGGCCCATCACATAAGGTGAATTAGAAGTAACCTTATATTGACAATACTGTATGCGGAATTTATATTTTTGACGAGTATTCCTACTATGTATGATTTCATTGGTGATAAATTTATGTTTGTTTCTGAAGACAAAAATTGACAATTCGAATATATACATGCTGACAAGAGTTAAAATGTTAAATTGTCTAAATAAACTTCTGCAAGATGCCCTTTTTGAGGCTTTGGCCATTATTCTCAAAATAAACTTCTGCGAAACGAATACATTTGATATCGAAGTCGAGTTACCCCACATATATATGCCATGTCTCAGACTGGAAGCTACTTGAGCATGGTATAGTGCCAAAAGTTGCTGATATGTCAAGATATATGTTAGGTTTCTGAAGAGATAACCTAATGAAATAATTTTACTCGTTAAATTCGAACAGTATTGTTTCCATGTCAAACATGCATCAATGGTAGTTCCCAAAAAATTTGTCTCTTCTTTTCCCAGAATTGGAATTGAATAGGCACGCAATGTTCTTGTCGATTATGAAATCTAACCAATTGTGTTTTGTTAGCATTGAGATAGAGAGAATTAGCTCCGCACCAGTTCATTACAGATTGCAAAGCATATTTACATTTGTCTTAAAGTGAGTTTTCATCAATGTCAGATACTATTAAAGACGTATCGTCGGCATACATTGTTGAAAAAGTATTCCTGATATGTGATTCCAAATCATTTGTATATAAAAGGAACAATATGCATAGGCCCTAATACCGATTCTTGCGGAGCACCCATTGAAACATTTAACAAACTTGAATTACATTTATCATGAGAACTCGTACTGTGGTTACTAATTGTAACATATTGTTGCCTATTTTCTAAAAATGATGAAATCCAGGAATGTGCTACGCCACGAATGCCGTATGAATGTAACTTTGACAACAAAGCATTATGATTGACGCAATCGAATGCCCTGCTGAGATTACAAAAAATCCCAACAGGACACTCGCCTGCTTCTAAATATTCAAACAGTGTATCGAAAAAAGAAATTACTGCAGTATTGGTAGATCTATTAACTCGAAAACCGTGTTGATGATCTGTCAAGAGTTTGAACCTATTTAAGAAATCCAAAAGTCTATCAAGATATGCGTGTTCAAAAAATTTTGAAAAACCCGATGTGATGGTAACTGGTCTATAATTTTCTAATTTATATCTGTCCATTTTCTTATGAATGGGAATTACCCTTCCAATTTTGAGAGACTTCGGAAATGACCCAGTAAGAAATGATAGGTTCACTAAAAATGTGGATGGTTCTATAATTGCAAAAAGTCATTTCTTGAGTAGAATTAATGGGACTTCGTCGTATCCAGACGAATATTTATTCTTAACTTTATTGCTTAAGAGGCAGAGAAGTTTCCCCGGTATGAAAGGTTTGAGAAAAAATGAATATTAATTCTTATTCAGATGATTTAGTTACGATTTTTGATAGTTGACTGTATTTTGATTATCAACAACAGATCCTCAAATATTGAAACAATAGGGAGCTACCATTTTTAGATGTCTCACATCTAGGAAATGCCCGTCTAGATGACTGATTTACCCGTCTTATCTCAGATGAAACGACTGTAGTTAAATATACTTAAGCAGAACCCTGGTCGGTAGTAATGTCGATAATGTGGACAGCACTGATGTAAGTTCAATGAATTTCTTTTACTGATCAACGAAAAGTATATAAAAATTATTCTTTGCAAATAAAGAGTGCTGTTGATTTTACGTCAATGGCCACTGGTATTATCCAGAGTTTTGGCATATCCATCGAAATCTTTTCCATCTCTCAAGAAGGTAATGTATCTAACTTTGGAACTATCGACATTATTGAACACTACGATACTACGATTTGCTAGTGCGGTACGATATTATCGCACCGCACTAGCAAATGGTAACAAACATCAGTAGATTAATAAATATGAATTTAAATTGATGCTCTTGTGATGTATTGAAAAGTGAAGTAAAACAATGGATTTTAGAGAATGTGTCAGTTTTTTGTATATAAATTTAGATATTCAATAACTTAACACATTTTTTTCATCATAAAATAATAGGATTGTGTTTCAACAACGAGTTGTACTATTATTCTTATATATTTTTAAAGTAATTCATACGTATACATCCTGTCGCAGGATTGATGTTACAAGATGTGCAATGGACTGACAATTTTTTAATTTCGTTTTGAGATTACGGGATTGAGCTCTGCTTTTTGAAAAAATGATTTTAAGAGAAAATTTGGTTTTCGAAAAACAATCAGTCTTGACCGTGAAGAAAAAATTATTTTTTCTTGGATTAATATATCCTATTTGTTCAAGAAATTCAAAATGTTACTGAGGAAAGTATGGGAGATTATGGTTCTATACAAATATCCCGAAAGATTTAGCAACTTTGATTGAACATTCATTGTTTGAAGTCAAGCATAATAAATTATATTTACTCACCTTTTAAAAAAATGTTCAGAATATGTTTTCCGTTAATCAGCTGTCGCGCCCCTACGAACGACAACCCTCAGAAGTCGAAACTTATGCGAGCTAAGGATTAACGAGGTCTTACCTTTTAACGTGTGAATGCTAATACGGGTTGGACGATAGCAAGTGAAAATCGATCGTTTAGCCCGCGGCTTGAACCACCAACTAGCACAGCTGTCGATTGATACCGACCGACCTTTATCTTCCTGGAATATTGTAGAGGCATAATATCTTGTCTTGAACAATGTTTAATGATAGCGTTTCAACATATTATGAATGAAAAGAATACATAATCTGAAAGGAAACTGGTTTTCTCTTTCCGTGGAGACCAGGTTGTTTTTCAAGAAATTTAAATATTCTCAAAATTCATTTATCATCAAGCAGAACTTAATCCCATAACCGCAAAACATCATTCAAAAGTTTTCAACCCCTCCTGTAACATGAATCCTGGGTCATACTGTATATGTAGTTTCAAGATTCATAAAACAGATTTCATAATCGTTCAACTTTTGATTGATAGATAGATATATAGATTGAATTACACATACCACGTGTACTCTGATCACCTTCAGTTCCACGCACAAATTGGGTAATTTCAGTTTCAATGGATTCTCTGCTGATTCTGTCCCTTTGGTTTTTTCAATCAACACAAAATTTCGCTTATTGCTCATTGATATGAAAATATATTATGGTTACTTTGCTCAAGTTTTCTCATATTTATAATCGTTAATCCAAAAGACAGTGAAATTGTTTAACTTAACGTCTTGTTTATATTTCAGGTCCGGATGGTTGTAACCTGTTTATCTACCACCTGCCCCAAGAATTCACTGACACGGACCTGGCGTCGACTTTCCTACCTTTCGGTCCTGTTATTTCTGCCAAGGTGTTCATAGACAAACAGACGAACCTGTCCAAGTGTTTCGGGTTTGTGTCGTTTGATAACGCCCAATCCGCTCAACAAGCCATATCTGCGATGAATGGGTTCCAAATCGGTACCAAAAGGCTGAAGGTCCAACTGAAACGGGCCAAAGATGCTTCAAAACCCTACTAGCCAAAGAGACGAGCCAGTCAACCGAGTGAAAGGCCGGCCTAAGGAACGACGCTGACCGAAGGCTGGCCCGACAGGCCGGCCTTTCTCACCCAGCACCGTGCCAGTGCAGTGCAAATCTCAGGATCTAGCTGCTATTTTTATGAACTGTGAGATATTTTTACTAGTTAACTGCGGTTGGCAAACCGCTTGTAAATTATATGATGTATATGACGAATGACGAGGATGTTCGACTAAATGTTTTTGTTTTTATTTGGTATTTAGTTTTTTTTGTCATGTTGGTCGACAGGTTCTTTTTATTTTTGTGTTCGTGGCGTTCGGCGCGTAGACATACATCCTCTGTTGTTTAGTTAATCCTAGGCCATATGTAAATGTTGAGTGATTTAGTTATGTTTTATCTGGAGTCTACAGTTTATTATTAGTATCCCTTTTATTTATATACATCTGAAGCATGTATTTGAATTGTACCTTTATTTTCTATTGTTATCGATTAAAACCAAAGTACAGACCAAACACTTTGCTGTTGTGTTTAATATTCGCAGGGTTTCTATGTAAATGACTTCAGACCGAACAGAACTCAGATTGACACAGGGATGCAAGGATTTTTGAACTGATATTGGTAGTATACAAAAAAAAATGCGGCATATTTGTGTGATTCTCATGAGTTTACACTCTCACACTTACACTTCAGAGGTGTTATTTTGTCATATGAAACCCAAAGTACTCATTGTTAATTATTTACTAGCATTTTAATTATTCTGCCTTCAATAATATTTCGACTTCTCACTTTTTTGCTGGAATTTTTCAGGGGGTAATATTCACTTATGATTATCGTATCAACACAGATTTTGTATATACTATCATTGAGTTTTAATTGTACACATCGTTTTTGTATTGTATATATAAATGCTCAGGTCCTAACTGCCTTCTCAGCCTTAGGCCAAATTTGGAAAAAAACGCCGCTAAGGTCTGGGGAGTGTGGTCTTCTACTATCGTCCAACTGAAATATTAAATTTGTAAATATCAATCGCACAATAAATATCAGTAACAGCAAAGTGTGGCTGTTAAATTGTCATATACTTATAATATAATAGATATATTCAATATTTAACTTTACTAATTATGAAAAAGGACGTTGAGCTGAAGTAGGACCTCTTGATTAAAATGTCTGTATTCATAAATATGTCTATTGGAGCAAGCTAACAAAATGAACAGTAATCAGTAATCAATACAAAGTAGTTTTAACGGCAATTGAAAGAATAAGTACAGCTATATCAGTTGACATTTGGCATATTCTAAAGTTCAAATTGATTGATTTGACTAAGTTTATGATAGTTATGTGTGGTTCGGGCACGCAAATACTCCAGAGTTTATATGTTTTTTCATCATCTCATCCATATTGTGAATTAAAAAACTATATCAATACTTCTCTCAGACCTCCCTTTTATTAACAAATTGAAACACAATTGGGGATTTTCACCTTCACAATCTGAAAAAATTACAGAAGGTAAAAATTCTTAAAAAGGCCTATGAAAAACACTGACTTCTTACACAAAGAATGACTTGCTAAATAATTGTAATTTTTGTCCCATTTATTTTCATGGAGCATGATTGTTGGACTCATTCATCGTTCACCTCAAGGTACAGGGGTAGTTTTGGTTAAATAATAATGATTGTATTTGAAAACGTTTCCACGATATGAAATCCGTGTCTGAAATATTCAGATGCAATTCTGTTTAATAATCTGTTTGAAATCTTTTTAAAATGTGTTTTTCCGTTAATCAGCTGTTGCCCCATACGAACGACAACTCTCAGAAGTTGAGAAACTTGTGCGAGCTAAGGACTAACGAGGTCTTACCTTTTAACGTGTGATTCCTAACACGGTTGCAGAATCATCCCAGCTTCAACCAGATAAATTCTCTCGAGAAAAATATCTGGTCAAGGCGGGGTTCGAACCCACGGCCTTTCGATCGTGAGTCGGGCGCACTACCACCGTGGCCAATTCCACAACAAATTATGAATATAGACACTTATTATTAGAATGTAATTCCATTCATCATTACTCAAGACGTGGATTAATACAAGAAAAAATATTTTCGAGTGAAAAGCCACATACCTACACATGAGGGCAGGAGGCAACAATTGTTTTGAATTAATCGGATTTATTTTAATCCGAAGTATTTATACCATCTCCACAAAGAAGGGGGACAGCCAAACAGATTTTTTTCATAATTGACAGTTCAAACTGACGATTCTAGGTAATTGACAGTATGAACTATCGGTTATAAATAAAGTCGACACTTCAAACTATTGCTTAAAGCTAATGGACAGTTTAAACTCTCTAAACTATATCTATCCAACAAACAAAGTTACCTACACAATGATAAATGCTTGTTTGAAGCATGATCACCACGCACATTTACATCTATGTGGTAAAATGAACAAGCCACCTTACGCTGGCCAATCAGATTTAACTGCCATCGGCTGGCGGAATTCATGTTACAGTGCCTGAGTGGTCAGTTACATTTTAACGCCTGTGGTGTGTTTAAAATTTTCAAAATGTCAAGTACTGATACGGCTAAAGAAACTGCTAATTGGTATTCCTACGCTCCACCTAAAAAAAATCCTATATACAGCCGCATACTATGAAAAAAAATCGGTCGTTCCTCAGTGCGACTCTGTACAAGCATCCTTGTCTGGGAAATCACGTGCACTATGCATGATAATGTTTTGGCTGTTGCTCAGTTGGACAGAATATATTACGAAATTAAAGTACTATGTGGGACTTCCGTACTGCTGTAAATTTTTGATAAATGAGATTTCAAATACAAACAAATGATATATTGAAACATTGAAACAATTTCGGAAATGCATTTTGAGGAAGTATCAACAGGTGACAGGAATTTATTTATATGAAATTTGGCAGTCTCGTTCGAGTGAATTTCACCATTAATTATTATAAATTTGAATGGTCGTAGTCTACCTTTTTGTTATGCAACACATAAACTGAATTCTTGGCAACCATACAATTCGCTAATTCATAAAGGAGGTATAATAAACACATTAACCGTCTAGGCCTCTGAAAAGGTTTTAGTTAGTCTTTTAATATTTTCGAATATATAATAAATTCACTTCGCTTAGGAAAATAAATTTTATGAAATTCTGTAAACGATATGAGAATGAGATGAATGTAAAGTCAATTAACTAAGTGAATTCATCAGGATATGTATTTACATACAGAATGGTCTAAGTTTATGATCACACTTGGTATTTTGAGAAGTGTTTAATACATTGTAGTGACAATGAACGAAAAAGTGTATGTTCTCAATAAACTTCTTTTTTGAGGATAACATAGATATCATATAATTTTGCATCATATTCATAAGTGAAATAAAAACCTCAACAAAAAATGTCTAGTTGAATCTTTTATATGCAAAAAGTTATTTTACGTGATGTCAAAAAAAAATATGAAATTATACACATCCTTATATACAAACTGGTAATATACTCGGAGACTTTCTCCAATGCTGAAGACGAAGTCAGCATCCGAAACGTTAAGATAGGTATTGTATAATTTCTTAACTCTTTTTCGATGAGCTGAATTATTAAATCGAGAAGTTACTGATAGATAGGACATTTTTCTTTGTGAAAAATACTTTGGGTAAACACGTTAACTTATCGGGGTGAACTTTCAGGGGTGAACTAAAAATGTTGGCCTCTCTACACGTGTATAGAGTACTCCATTATATTTTTTATATTTTCCAGATTGAGAAAGATTATATAATACCTTCAAAAGATCGATAAAAAACTTCGTATATAGTATAATTGAAAGGTTTTTTTAATTTTTTCTCATATCTTTCTTATGTCTACAGAAATCACATATATAAATTTGATTATGTACCTAGTAACATTATTACATTGGTTCATTCTATGTATGTAATAAAGTACTCATATTTTTATTAATTATTGACCTACATCAACTCCGAAGGGTTATCAGCGGCGGAACGTTTATTTTAGAATTTGATATTTGATGAAGATTATCATCAATCAATAGACAACTTTTATTTCAAATTGAAAAGAGAACGTTGTTAGGTAGGTTTTTTGGCCTTCTACTTCTCTATTTTGAATCGAAGATTTGGGAAACCCAAAAAACGCGAGAAAAATATATGTAGATTGTACAATGGAGTTTCTTTCAGGTACAAACTGAAAGAAAAACCCCATTCGCAGCAACTACTTTCATATGAATGATTTACACGGAAGAGACAGATCATTTCAAAAAAAGTACTTTTGTATGAATAATGAATTACACAAAAATAGATTTTTCCTATTCAGTTTTAACTCCAAACATTCGCTGTGATATTGAAACAGTTGTGTGGCGTTTCTATATCGCTTCCAGAAAAAGATGGAAGTTTCCCACATTTTTAGTTTAATGATAGAGAAGTAGGAAGCCAAAAAGTTTTTTCCCAGATCACTTTTGGTATTTCATGTTAAAGACATATACATTTTCATTTTTTCATCATGCAATATCGATCGAATCAATATATCAAATACAATTTTTAATTCAATGTAAACCAAAGTACCTATCTCTCTGGAGAGGGTGGAACAGAAATTATTTCTCTTGAATTTTCAGAAATCTAGCATAACGAATATTAACAATACCATGATAATTTTTTCTACAATTACTAATGAAAATAGTACCAGCTCTTTTGTCAGCTGTCAAATTATGAATAGTGAGTTTTTAAATCGAGAAAATATCCATGAATCCCAATTTTGTGATTTATTCATATAACAATATGAGTTTCTGTTCGGTCGAATGTCAGTGTGATACTTACCACTTTTTTAGTTAATGTAGCATTTTACCGCAGCTCTGTTTTAGTGCTATAGTGCTGTAAATCACGTTATGTACTACCACCTAGTGTCTACCAGTACGACTGTGTTATATTTTTTTCTATCGAACGCGATTCAGGCGAGTGACGTCGCGTCTTGGCTTCTGTTTGTGTCTACTAATGTTGTGTCTTCATCTACAGTAAGTGGCTATCATTCACTAACAACTTTTGCAAGCGAAACTATCTATAATTGGGAACATTGTTCTGAGGTATTTTAGACCTATGACTGTTAATAATAGCATTATTTGTTCAGATCAACTGAATCTGGAAGTCATTCTGATGCAGTGTGTCTGTACCTGTTATAACCGCTCGTTTTTGAAAATTGTTGAATTTTAATCTTTTTCCCTTATAGACCACAAAAAAGTATCCGTGGGTGTTGAAAATTATGAGAAACACACTGCATTATAGAAATAATTCGAATTTTTCTCGTTTTGAAAATTGATATTTCCGTTGACGATCTAACTCGTGAACTAAAAATATAAATGAATATCATTTGTGGAGCTTTATGAAATCCACTAATTTTTGTATCTCGAATTTATGTAAATGAATATCAATCAGTCCACACTTATCACTTCTAGAACAATTCATTTTTTATGAGGTTAGTTGCAAATTGCTCAATAGTAATTACG